TTTTCTGTGCTGGTTAATACTTTACCATGGAGATGAGATACTGAGTTTCTAAAATATCAGCTTCTGTCACTTCAGCTGACATAGGCTAGCACGGTATGAGGAGCACCCCGGGCACCTGAGCATTCCCATTCTGTGCAATGGAAGACTCAGGTGCATATATAAAGTAGGCAGTATATTATATTATATATAACTTGCAGATGTGCAAAAAATCAACTTCTGGAATCAAAGTCCTCTGGTTAGATAATTATACCCTTTTGGAAACAATGCCTCAGTTTGTTTGTGTTATGAGGTACTACTGCTCACCATAAAGCAACTAAACGCTTAATTCTTTCATAGATTAGCTAGAGTGTAATAGTTTTTCAAAGACCAGATCAAGAAGTAGAGCATGTTGATTTCTAAAAATGTCATGTATGCACATGTTCTGATTCACCTCTGATTTTCATGGTACGAGCTCCAAGAGCTGCAGTAATGCTTAGTGCTCCAGTTTCAAGTTGGGGTATGCTACTTTATGTGTCGAGTGCATGGGGGTTGTTTTTTTGTTTTCTTTTTTCTTTTTGCAGCTACATATTGGACATAGAAGATAGGAAAGTGTCACATTCTGATGGGAGAAATGTAGAATGTAGTTTTCATGGTTTGAGATCCTTGTTTGAGAAACAAGGACTGGAGAATGTTGTGACAATGATTAAAATTTGCTACACTTTGGACCAGAGCTTAGCAACATTTGGAGTACTAAAAAGCTGTAAGTGCTAACACCAGCACTTTCACTGCATCTTTCATTTGCGAATATCTCTGTCCTTAATGAATTTTCATTGTGTCTCTGTGAGGCTGGTATTATTAGTGTCATTTTGCAGACAAGTAGATAAAATAAAATGCTTGTATAAGCACATTCCTGCCTTTTTCTGGCTTACTGAATAAAATTCAGGAATACTAATGTTTCAACCTGTTCTTGAGCTACTCTCTTGTACTTTCTCTTTTGCCAGAAGAGAGACTAAAGGCATTAATCTTGGTAGCTTTTTTCCACCCCTTTTTCTTTTTCCATTGGGTTAGGAAGCATAAAAGTGAGACATTATTATGCAACATATCTAAGTGTGCATGTGATACTTGAAAAAATGGTAATCAGATAAGTTGCTAGGCAACAGAACCCTGCCTTCAATTACCAAAAATCCAGTGAGTTTGCTTTCATGATGTAACGTGTTCTGTACTTCTTCCTAAAGCAAGTGTAGGTGGAGTTTTGTAAGAGTTGCTCCTTTTTAACTCACCTTCTGCTTAACCTGCCATATTGCGAGGTCAAATTTGACCCCAGTTTTAGAGAAAAGCATTCACAGAACCTGAAATCAACAGAAAAATGTTAGATGAGCTCTTAAAGATAATGATGCATGTGTAAGTGTATATAAGTAAATAACCATTCCCCCCATGGGTCTGTGACTCTTTCATGGTTCAACAGCTTACAGCAAGTAGTCCATAGCTCATCCTTTCGGACCATGAAAAATAAGAAAATAGGTGAGAGTTTTAAGTTAAAAGGTAGATGACAGGGATATGTGGGAAGCTGTGAGAAGTCTTAAAGTGGTCCATTGGCCCAAAAATGTTGAGAGCTGTGGTAATTCATGAAAACTTGAATGTAAAGCCAGCTGATTTATTTTCATTGTCTTAGCAGGAACAGAATAGAAGGAACATCAGCAGAGATGAGTGTACATGTAGGAAAAAGTAAGTGAGAGTCTAATAATGTAAGACAGATCTAGCAACACAAGGGAATTTGATTGTGTGTTTTGTTTGAAACCTGAGGGTTTTTTTTAAGACAGATTGCAGGATAACAACAACAACAAAAAGTAAAGACTTTTGGCAGTTACTCTAAACACATTTCTGCTTTTGGTGATAAATAGCCACAGAAGCATTTGCTGATACTATAGTTGTGTGGGGCTGCATGCATCTGCCCGAGCCTCTTCAGCTATTCGGTGGTGCTGTGGCTTTTAAAAGAAATCTAGAACTCTGGAGGCTTACTGTGCTTCTCAAGGCTTTGCCAGTTTTCAGTAGAGATCGGGGACCCACCTGGAGGAATCTGGGAAAAGATGCATCTAACTTTGGAAATCACTCATTTTCCTTGGGTAACTGCATGTTGTTGCTTTACAGTTGTTTTTCCAATGATTTTGTTGTTGCTCTTCCAGAAGAAAGGCATTTCCTTTTCAGGAGGTGGGGACTGTGTAACAGTGCATGCCCTAGGTATCTCTCTGAGGTAATTCAGTCCTTTTGGGAAGGAAATTCAGCCAAACCTACCATGTTTTGTGCTCGTGTCTACCAGTCTAGGTTCAGAGATGTTCAGATCCCAGCTGGTCTGCGTGCAGGTTCAAAAGCCCTCATCAAAAGCTGTGTTGGGACTTCAGGTGAAAGTGAAATCCGCATCACCCTCCATGTAAGTTCTGCCAGGGTGAGTTTCTGAGAAGACAGATGCTCGCTTTCTGTTTCTGAATTTGGCACTTTCTTCCCAGATAAGTCATGGAGCAGCGTTGTGACTTTGTTTCTCTGTTGGTAGAACAGTTTATCACTGGGTAGTTGCACGGGCCTGAGCTTTCTTTTTTGGAGCACTTTGGAAATAATGAAGTGTAAATACTAAGACAGACTGTTGAAGGAACGTACAAGTAGCCCCTTCCCAGTCAGTAGTTTGCTTTCCTTTTTATTTGCGTGTTCTTTGTATTCTCATTTGGTGAGCACTACTGCTAAATTATGCTAATGTGCAGTCCCCAACCTGCTGACACCAGGAATGTTGGTGTCTGTGTCAGAGGAACGGTCAGAGCACGGGCAAATGCTGTTTTGGGAAGACTGAGTCTGGCCTAGTAGTGGATTTTAGTTTTTAACTATTTCTGTATATGCAATTGAATGGTCACACCACCATTGTTTTTTGTTTATTTTTTGTCTACTACAAACATTACATGTTTTTAATCATTAGTATTTCAACACAGAAAGTTCATTTATATACAAAAGAAAAAACAAATCCCCTAGTCTTAAGTGATGTATTAATCACATGAGCTTTAAGGTTGAACCTTTATCTTCAGCTGTACCTCTCTGCGCATGTGTGTTACAACATAGTCTTTTCTAATGAGGAGTTTCTTCAGTGATTATTTTCTTTCAAGTGTAGATAAAGTAACTGAAGATAGGATTTCTGCCGCACTTTGAGTTCACAGAAATGAAGATTTTTGTGAAAGAGGAACTTTTTCTGCTGGGTGGTGGCCTGTGAGCCAGATCTGAGAGGTGATGCAGCTGAGAACTAACAGGGGTTGGGGCAGCGTTCAAATGACTGATGAGTTCCTTCATCTGGCTCTCGGTGAAGCTCCATGGGTCGCCTGAGTGCCGGTGCCGGGGAAGGGACTGAATTGAGCAGGACAGCTTTGTCCTAAAGTTAGGTTGGCTTGAAGCCTTTTGTAATGTTCATATTTCTGCACTGAAGGAGTTGAAAGTGTGTTGCAGTTGCTTATTTTGTATGATTTTGTTCCCCACTCTTTTATAAATCAAATTATAGACAAATAGATCTGACTATGTAAAAAGCATTTTCAGTGTTTTTGTGATTCTAGGGAAACACTTTTTAAAATTTTGTTAGCATGTGTCTGATAAATAGTTCAGTAGAAACCTATATCCAACTGTGACAAAATGCATATAATGAAAATAGAATACGTGCAAATAATTTTTAGGAATGTCAGCTTTAAAACAATTTATACCAGAGCTGGCTAACAACCAAGTTCTTTCCCAATTTGATGTACAAATACCTAGCTGTTAAATTAGCAACTATTTCTCATGATAAGAGAGACTCCGATGCAAGCCTCACTGCATACGCAGAAGGTGCTAAATGTGTTTCTATAATACCCGTGTTACATTGATTTAATTAGTGTTTTTGTGCTATTCATTGCTCTGTCAATCTTGGTGGGAAGATTATGTTGGGAGAAGATTAGTTATTTAATTTATACTTTTAATTGGAAATTGGAGTGTTTTTGTAGTTAAGTGTTACCTAAATAAAAAAAGTGTAGTGATTTTTTAAGGAGAATGCTTCTCTTGAATTCCTGTTAGACTTTGGTGCTCAAAAACTCTGAGATTCATTAGGGTAATGTGAAGATGCCATTTGTTACACAGCCTGACACATAGATGTTCTTGCTCTGTAGCTTCTTCACATGCAGTTAATCCAGAAAAACGCTATGTATAGACAAGCCCTCAGAGTGTAAGATCTGTGAGGCTGATGCGAGTACAATGTTAGATTGTGTGTTGGAGCTGGCACCTCAAGGTGTGAATTCTGTGAAAGTCTGGAGTGTGGCATCCTAAATGTCAGGGCTTAAAGAGAAGGAGAAGTATAGCCCAAGCTCATGGGTTCTGCTTGCTTGGGTCATGCAGCCATGCTGCCCAAGCCCAAGATGGAGGTGAAAGGCAGTCGGGTCACCAGAGCAGGGGAAGAGGCAGCGCTGGTTCCCTCAGGTGGGTGGCAGTGGCAAGGGCCTGTGGGCACGAAGGCCACACTCTGTCCCGGAATGGGGAAGGGAGAAGAAGAAAAGCGTGATGATGGAGAAGTGAGGTGGGGGAGATAGGGAGGCGATGTTAGGAGACAGAGGATGGGGATGAAGAGGATTCAGCAGTGAGGCTTACTTCCAAAACTGTAGGCTCAGATGGGAAGATAAAGTGCTTTGTAGACCCTTCAAGGGTTAACCGAGACCTTGTCTGAGATGGTAGCAGTGAGGAACCCTTGGTCCCTGGTTGCAGTGAAGTTGCTCTGTGTGTTTGCTGTGGCTGGGATCCAGAAGGACAGTGAAGAGTCGAAAGGCTTGGCCTACAGAGGAGAGGCAGCTGCCAGGGAGTCGCCCCAGGTAAGGGATAGGTACAGGCATCTGCCTGGGGCTCTGAAGAAGTCAGGTCTTCCAGGGCCCAATGTACTGGAGCTAAGCTATCCATACACATAGCTCTTTCAGTGTTTAAAACCTCTCTTGCACTGCGCTTCATTAAGATTAAACTGTACTTCTTTGGTTTAGGAAGGCTGTCTGGTTGGTGTATTAGCTGTTGGTCACACGCACTTGGTCTGAAAACAGTTGGCATCTGAAACGGCTCAGACCTGCTGGAAGCAACCCGGTCAACCTGCAGATGCTGTGAACCAGGAGCTGACGAAAAAGCAGGAGAGGTCCAGGATTTCTCCCCAGAAAAGGTAAGGGCTGGAGGGTAAAACTGGTGGGAGTGCACTCATAGACCAGAAAACCGGAGCAGTTCTCTGAGAAGCTGACTGCATTGTAGATGGGACCTTTGAAATTTAAATGTGTAAAGTGCATAAATGATGCTCATGACGTGAAGTTATTTCCGTTGGTTCAAACTGCACATTGTCTTCTGGAAGTCTAAGATCGCCGTTTGCACACATCACCCTTGATTCCTTGACCCTTGAGCCACACCATTCTGATTGCTCGTAATTTATATTGCCCACCTTATTCCAGTGTTATTGTCTCTTTAAAACCTCACACTCGAGTAGCCTTAGGCAGTTAAAACAATCAGGACAGTGGAGCAGTACTCTGAGCTAAACCAGAGCAGTAGGTAAAGAGCAGAGGGTTGCTCTCTCCGGTGGTAAAAACACAGGTGTGAGTCGGATGATGAGGAATCTATTCCTGGCCCTAACAAGCAGTGCAGTGTCTGCACCTGATTCACCAGTGTGTTACTCTCCTAATCTTTTTAGGTTCATCTTGCCACTCTCCTGTATCTATGGCAGTCTGGTACACTTGCACAGAGTGGATGTAAAATACTGTCAGATTGGATGGGTGATTTGTATCCTGGAGTGAAACTTTATATTGATCCTGGTAGACAGTCATTGGACATTGTGGGACCAGAATGACAATCTCCAGACCCTGCAGCATTTTCTGAGTGCTCTGTGTGTCTGCGGTATGCGGTGTGGTGCCCTAACAGGAGGTTGAGAACAGGTCCTCTGATACAACTTGCAGCAGTGCAGGCTACAGTATCATTTTCCCTGTTGTGGGTAAGGTTTCATGGGTAGGTCATGCTTTATCTTGAATTGGGAACGTGCTTTGAATAAGTAGGTGCTACCTATATAAAATGCAAATTCATGTAGCACCTTCCTCCCTCATCTTATCCTGTCTTAGGGGTCTCTATCCTCTCTTAGGATCTCTTGGGCTGTACCACTATGCTAGGGTATTCTGTTGTCCCACTCGTGTAGGTATTCTTGCTCTGATAGACCCCTGTCCCTCTCTGAGACTGGGGAACAGACCCAGTCAGCTGCTGAAGGAAAGCAGGAGACTTGAATTGTGGCAATGCTAGCAGTGTGGATAAGCAGAGTCAGCTGCTGCCTCAAGCTCTGACTGTGATCTTGCTGCCATTGTGTAGCTGAATACAGGGCTTCAGTTGGTCAAAAAGTGTCATCTACTGAGCAGTAAAGTCCAGACCAAGGCTGCAAGGTTATGACAAAACAAGTGTCAGCAGCTTCCTGGGAAGGCTGTTGGTGATGGACCGAGCCTTGGAATGAGTCCAGCCATTTTGTCAATGACGCAGCCATGAGTACTTCTGAAGAAAGCTGTGTCTGGCAAGTGCTCTGGTGTATGGTACTATTGCTGTGAGTAGAGCAAATGCTGCTTATTGCCTGCCCTCAAGAACCATCAAAGGAAGTGCAGACGTCTCCTATTACTGTTAAAACAAAAACTGAGCGCTGTATGGGCACAAGAAAACATAGATCCATTGGCAGCAGAACAAGACTATGAATTATTCATTCCTCCAATGCCTCCTGTATGTTCCATCCACTCAGGGTGTTCAGCATGCTGTCTGCTGGAGATGCAGACAAGATCTGCTTCCAAAGCCACGGGGACACGACCCTGCAGACTGTGATCACCACTCTGCTCAGCTTGTCCTCCATGAAACTGGCTTGTGCGTTGTTGTGACATCCTTGAGGACACAGAAGTAACCTTTGATCATCCTGTGGGCTGATGGTAGGAACTCTTGTAACACCAATGAAACTGGGACGCGTCTGGTAATGCCAGCCTGGAATTCGCTGTGAGGTGAGGGCAGTGAGTTAGGACCAAGATGGAAGCACTGACTGCTCTGGCCCATTTTGCAAAAGGGAGGTGGGGGGCTGCATCTTCTGTGTAGTATTGCTTTGTTTTTTGTAAGAGAACTTATACTATGTCAGTTTGTTCCTAGCTGTGTCTTGCTGAGAAGCCAAAGTGTCATATGGTAGAAGTTCCCTGATCACGAGCAGGATTTTTCTCCCCATGCAGAGCGCTTTAGTGGAGACGACTCTATTTAAATGGCTGTTTGGGAACATCTGTGGAATACATAGTTTTTCTCAACTCGTTTACTGGTGAGCATTTGTCTATGTAATGGTTGTCAATTAGCAGCTGAGGTTGAGAGGCATTGAGGACTTACGAAGCTGCAGAGACTAAATTCTCCTCAGATTCTTTCATGAACTGCTCTGAGCTGAGGTAAGAAGTGCCCAGTGTGAGAGAAGGTGTTGATGAAGGTTTGTTCAGGCTGTTACTCAGCATAAAATGCACATACTTGGATGCGGAGGGGCTTTTACTCTTTTTTTTTTTTTTTGCTTTTTCCCTCCTGCTGGTTGGTATGAAGGTTTCTTCAGCCATTTCATGTATCCAGGCTGCACCGTGCATGCCATATTGCAGATTTTTGAGCATTCTTCCCTATTTTCTTTCTGCATCTTCCAGAGTTGCTCTTGGCTATGAGGCTTGTGCTGAGAGATGTTCAGATTTTTAGAGCAGGAAAAGCTACTTGTAACTAGCAACTGCTGCAGAAATGATGGGCTGCTTAAAGCGAAAGTTTAACCCTTGCACTTACACCTGTCTTGTAATGTGCCCTACACCATTTTGAGGGCATTTCAAATTTCTTAAAGAGCTTTGAGGAAAGGAAGTGAATGATATTTCAGTCAAGACAGGACACTATAACTTGTGTCCAGAACAGTTTTCAGCTTCTCATTATGCCAGCTAGCTGGATTTGCAGTAGAGTGAGCCACCTTTTGGAGTTGTCCTGGTCCAGAAGGTAAGGGGAGCTGTGGAGGCTAAGATAAAACCCTAGGCTGTGTTGGAAGAGTCCTCACTGAAAGAAGTGGTGGAAGCAGCCTGGGGGGAAGATTGCCCACCTGGGTTGAGAGGTGGGGTAAGTTTCAGAAAAAGGACTCTCAAGGAAGAAAGGGTTGGTCCTGAAGCAGGTAAAATGTGTTTGTCCTCCTGTGGTCTTGACAGAAATGAGAAGATGATAAACTGGAAGAATACTTTACTTTCTTTTTTTAAAATCAGCAAAAGAAGTAGACAAACAGAGCAGGCAGTGGATTTATGGTTTCCATAGTGATATAACTGTGGAAGCTTTTGTATGGCTGAGCTTCGCCCTCACTGCAATCACACTTGAAGGCTATGAGTGTTCAGCTTTCCTGCCAGGAAAATGTAAATATACATCAAACGCAGGAGTGGTTGAAAATGCAACTATGTGTTCATGATTTGTTATGTTTGCTTTGTTACCTGAATATGGGGATGTTGGGAAGCTCAGCTCCACCATGGCTTATTTCTCCTTTATCTGTTGTCCGGCACTGAAACAGGGCATCAAACTGTCGTAATACCACAGTTCTTGCTGTACCAGGTAGTGATACGTTGACCTTTGCTTTCTCTCATCTGTACATACACACACATCCCACAACACTGATGTCTGTGATTCTCTGCTCACCCACACCGATTTCAAACATGCACTGATCAAGAAACGTATGCCTAACTCTTTCAGGACGTGCAAACTGGTAAGAGCACCACCCTGTGAAACCTGGAGAGGCGTACTTCATGCTGTTCATGGCCATCATCTCGCTTGTTCCTGTGGGTCACAGAAATGGGCTGCACATGATATTCAATGATGGTTTATTTTATTGGGCATTTTGAGGGTGCTTTAACATTCAAAAACATAGGACCTTCTGGGAATTTTTGCATATGGAGAGAGCTGTTCGTGACTGTGAATGGTTGAATTTGTGAACCTTTAAATCTGTCTTTCTAAATAAGCTGGAGTGCAGAATTTTTCAGCATCTCAGCTGACGGATTGGATATCAGTGGGTCATAGAGGTAGAGGAAGGAAAATGCTCAATGTGAGTGCAGGATGCACACATCAGACAATTAGGCATGTACCAGTCCTGCACACCCACCTGCATAGTCCAGTCTTCGAGTCACAGGCATTTGTGCCTTGTTGTCTTCTTTTTTACTGGTACTGCTGCTGGATGCCTCTCTTGCTGTCTTGCTGAACAAATCTCCCCTACCTTCTGCATTTGTTTTGCTTGTCTAATGGATGTAATGGGTCATCTGTTCCCTTTATAGAAAGGAATGTTAATTATTTTCACAAGGCTAATTAGGTTGCTAATGAGAAGCTCTACTGCAGTAATATTTCCTTTAATTACTCACTCTTAAGTGCTGTACAGAGCAGCTTATTGAATATTCTGTTAAATACAAATGCTTGCATTTGGCTCAGAGATGCACCTCCAGGCTCCCTGAAAGAAATGCTCTGGTAAACTTGGGAATCCATGTGACACAGATGACTGAGCAAATGGGACTGAGAGCTGCCTAGTCATGCAGCCTTTTTGACTCCGTGTGAATTCGGTGCTTCTGCAAGTGGCTGGCCGCAGTTGCTGTCTGTATTCCAGTTTTGCTTGACTGCTTTTGGCAGTATCAGTAACCAATTGTGCTACCTGCCAAACTAATCTGTAGTTAGATGCAGCCCTTGCACTGAATAGCTTAGTCTAATTAGAGCCAGATGGCAGCCAGAGGCACAGAGGTGGAGTGACTCATCCAAGGTCATGTCACAGATCATGGCAAACCTGGTAATAAAGCAGAGGTTTCGTCAGTCCTGTGTTAGTGCACTGCACTATTTGGCCCCTTGTGCCTCTCTTAGGGCCAGCATAGTTCACTAAAGACTTGTATCAGTCTGCATATTGCTTCGTGAGGCAACACAACTGCTCAACAACCCTATCCATGTTATCTACCTTGGCACTGACTTAGGAAGGTCCTTTTACTTCTCCATCTGAATCCTGGCTGCCACTTGCTTCTCTCCTTTTTTCACCATTTGTTGTAGAAATCTCAGTGCCTTTTAGAATTGCTCTGAGCGCACCACTGTCTTCTACATGATGTTTTAGTACTCCTAGGACAAGAGATGCTGGAGTGGATCTCCAGCATCCCC